CGTTCCCACGGGTAAATTAAATTCTCAGTGTGTTAAAAATTTAATATTCTGCTGTAGTTTTTTTGTGTATGAGAGAACATATTGAGTCTTGTGTTTTCGAATCCTTGAGCTGGTCCACGTTTCCCACGGTCATGGAAAAACTGGAAAAGTCATAAAAATAAAGTGATGGAATTATGTTGTGCGTAATGATATTGTTACAGTAACCTTTGATGTATTATCTTCCAGGTAATGTAACATAATTTTCTCCTCACGTTCTGTCTCCCGTTGTGTATGCCAGCTAGCTGAAATATTGTTTGAACAGAGTTTGATCTGATATGCTTTTAAAAAAAATAGAATTTAAAAAAAAAAGCCAGGCAAGTAGTAGGGCATGAAAAAAAATAATTATGGGTCCTTGAAAAGTCCTGAAAAGGATTAAAAGTCCATGAAAATGTGAGTTAACCCAGAGTCCAGGTCACTAACGCAGTTCTGCTGTTGCCTTCAGGTGCGACCCCCCAGCGTCGGGAGTTTGTGTATCCCAGGCGGCTGGAGAAGTCGCGAAGCCGCGGTGAGCTGCTGGAGATCCTGAGGAGGCAGCAGGAGGAGCTGCAGGCCGCTATGGAGGAAGAGGAGGAGGAGCAGGAGGAGGAAGACAAACACAGCCAGGTTGATCACATACGTTAACTCTTGTTTTTTTTCTTTAGTTTCTCCTGCTGATTGTTGTTAAGCCTCCACATTGTTGGATGTAGGATGGTTCAGGTTCACATAAGCTTATTTAATACCTAATAGATTTATATGTTTTATTGAGTCCAGTTTAAATGCATTCATTATATTGACTAACTTAATTGTCTGGCATGCTTCTCTGGACATTTTGGTTCATACACTTCAACAATGGTGGTTCATTCCCTGTTTTTCAGGTCATTCACATTTATTTATGTAATTATTTATTTATTTTGCTAAGCTGAACTTGCAAAAATGCTACCTGCTGGCTGGAATAGTGTTATTTTTGCTCAGTTTTCACCATCCACATTGCTCTTTGTTGTGTTTAGGACTCTCTGGAGGACGAGCTGAGTACTTGTAATGAAAGTTTGGCCACGGAGGCGTCCTTCAACGACGAGAACCTCGTCTTCAACGAGAGCAAACGCGTTCCCTTCTTCAAGGTGGGCGGCAAAAACAACACACTTTTTATTTTAGTTAAAGGTTGAAAAATGTCTCCATAGGAATGCACATGTGACTTTCAGCACATTTTATCATATAGTGATAACAATGATTTTATAATTTTACATTTTCCAGCAAAAGAAGGGCGGCAAGAAGGAGGCGAAGACCCTCTCCAGGCCGAAAGCGACAGAAAACGAAGCCTCAACACCTCAGAAATCCAGACTGCCACTCCGCTGTCAAAACTAAAACAGTTTTTAATATATTCTTCTGTAACAATGTTATTACTGTCCAACTCTTGTATTTTAAGTCTTTCTTGTCTTCTGAATGTGGATGTTGTGTCACGAGGTATCACTTGTTTTAAGTACCAGAATGGTCTCGATGTTTTCAAGTTGCTTGTAAAATTAAAGAGATTTATATACTTGTTTTATACGTTGGTGAATTATTGACTCCAGTAGATACAATTCAGTTGTTTATTCTGAGAGGTAAACAGGATTTTTCACGTTGGTCCAAAATGAGGAACTTAGATTTGGTGAAAATGCTTTGACAGAAGTAACAGGATCTGTCACAATACCTGCACGTGTACTATTCACAAGTGGTCTAGTTACGTATTTCTGGTAATTTAAGCTCCTCAGACTGTGCAGGACATTCAGAACTCATGAGGCTCTTGATTTGGACAACAGCATCAGCAGCTCAACCAAGCCAGGCTAGCTGTCCCCAAAAAGTTTAACTACTCCTGAAGTGAGCACAAATGTGGGTATAGTCAGGTTCATAAAGTCCTGATTTCAACCTTTGTTCAAAATCTTTGGGGAGTTTACAAACATTTGGAAAGTTTAGAGTGTGACAAACCCCATCTTGCACTTTCAAAATGGTGACCACCCATAACCTGTTTATAGCTGGATCCCTCATGGTAGATCAAATTGTTTCAGAGTTTAGTAAATTGCATATTTTTTCAAGCCAATAAAACACATGGAACCATTTCCAATACATTTAAAATATAACCTGACCCTGCACCTGTACTAGAAAAAACACATCTGTCAGGATGCTTAAAAAAGAAGACAAGGTGATATCTGATTTCATGTAAAATGCAACAAAACAGAACATGAAGTTTTAAGTGTAATTTGGGTGTTTAACCTCCTACAACCCTGTGTGCTCATATACTTTTGGGATTGCTGCACCTTTTGCTTTACTTTAGCTTAACAAGACCTGTTGTCCTCTTTCGTGGACACTTTTTTTTGGCCATCGAGAGCTAACAAAACTACTCTAAATCAGTGGTTCCCGATTTATACAGTCACAGGGTCCAGATTAGATGCCAAGTCCATCTACAGCCGATCCCAATTCAGAAGTGGACAAGGTCCAAAACCTGATAAAACCTTATGGTGAAACTTCTTTATTCTTCTTTCTTTTGTAATTATGTTTGTAGTGTGATGTTGCATACAATTTTTTGGCCAATTCTAGCAACAGTAACAAGCTAAGACCCTGTTAATTAGGAAGTACTCATTTGAGGACACTGGGACTTTATTATTGTGTTGTGGCAGCATTCACACAGGTAAAAAAAACAAAGGACAAAAAGGACATTCCTAGCTTGGTGTATGGAGCAAGGGAAAATTCATACAGAATCACAAATCCATCAAATCACAAAGCTTTTGCTGTGTTCTGGCATTAAAATAATCAATTATACACTTTATTATACAATGTAACTAATTAAGATAGTTCCGTTGAGTTCAGTTCATTTTGGCCATTCTCCAACTTATAAAACACAAATGCACTTGTTGATAGACAACACATAAACATTGAGTTAAAACTTTTTTAGCAATGTAAAACAACAAAACCGAAAAGGTGCAGGCTGAAACCTTAGCTTATTACATCTACCCTTTAAACATTAATTGTTTCTATCAGCTCCCTTTAAATTATACAGAGCAATAAGAAACTGACTGAAATCCACCCACCCATCCACTGAGCTACATTTGACACATTTGATTTTATCACGTGCTGTAACGTTAATGCCAAAAATATAGAGCGACCTTTAGGGGGCAGTAATGGCTGACTGACTTTTCTATAAAGCACAAACTAGTGTTATTATATCACTTTCCAACACTAGATAGCCGTGATAGTAGTTAATATACATATTGACCACCTGACTATACGTAAACCCCGTCCTACGTTAGTTTAAAAATAATATTTGTAATTCTAAGTACAAGGACGACAGGAAGGTGCCCAATTACTTTCGATTTCCACAGGTGTAACGGTGAATAACGTCTCCCCTTCAAATCACGTTCCACTCCGGATACCGGAAACTGCCTGTCTAAACGCGTAACTTACATATCACACATAATAACAACTGTATAATGTTAGCCTGATTATTCAGTGTAGTTTTTGATGTTTTTCAACGTGCCTTCTTTTTTTCTTATCCAAGTTTTCTTCAAATCTGCTGAAGAACGTCATTCTGGATGTGACCGGATGTGACGTAGTGTAGCTGCCCAACGCTAATGCCTGTGCACTTTAAATAGAATTGATTTAAAAAAAAAAACAGTTAAAATCATTAAATAGAATTAAATATATCGTAAGTATGTAATACCAAGCTGTGTTAGTCGGTTGTGGCAGACGTATTCGGATATTTTAAGTCCTGTATTAAAACTGTTAAGTTAAAGTACAAAAGTAAAAAAGTAGTCATTACACAGAATGTTTTTTTTATGTATAGCCTACCAGTACTGTTATGACTGTGTTGCAGCTGCTTACAGAGGAGCTCATTTTAATTACTTCATAAACTGCTGGGTGTTTAATTTATTTTATTTTAATAATACAACGTTTATTGTATTTATTATCTCGTATTTTTATTTAGACAAGGCAAGTTTATTTGTATAGCACATTTCAGCAACGAGGCTATTCAAAGTGCTTTACATAAAACATACATCAAGTAAAAGCAATAAAGGCAACATAAAAAGACATTAAATACAATCAAAAAGAGTTACATTGGAAATAAAATACTACAATTAATTAAAAAGAGTTTAGTTAAAAAGAAAAAAAAGCTAAAACAGAATAAGTTACAGTGCAGTGTGAGATAATAATCAGAAGCCTCAAGTTTGATTTAGTAATAGGCAGCAGCAAACATAAAAGTCTTCAGCTCTGATTTAAAAGAACTCAGAGTTGCAGCAGACCTGCAGTTTTCTGGGAGTTTGTTCCAGATATGTAGAGCATAAAAACTGAATGCTGCTTCTCCATGTTTGGTTTTGACTCTGGGAACAGAAAGCAGACCTGTCCCAGACAACCTGAGAGGTCTGGATGGTTCATAACGTAGCAGCAGATCAGAAATATATTTTGGCCCTTAACAATTCAGTGGTTTATAAACCAACAACAGTATTTTAAAGTCACTTCTTTGACAGACAGGAAGCCAGTGTAAAGATCTGAGAACTGGAGTGATATGATTCACTTTCTTGGTCTTAGTGAGGACTCGAGCAGCAGCGTTCTGAATCAACTGCAGCTGTCTGATGGATTTTTTAGGGAGACCTGTGAAGACACCGTTACAGTAGTCGCGTCTACTAAAGATAAATGCATGGACAAGTTTTTTCCAAATCCTGCTGATATAGACTATTGTCTTTTTTTATGTGGTATGCCATGGAACTTTCTCTGTGTCCTTTACTATTATTATTAAAGTCATTATTATTATTATCGTTATTATTATTATTATTATTATTATTATTATTATTATTATTATCATGTAATTATTAAGTGCAGGAAATTCGGTTTGGTTTCAGTAAGAGATCTGAATATGTCTTTCACCACTGGCAGTGACGCGGACACCTAAAACTAAATTCTTCCGGGTCCTTTTTTTCCCCTCCACATGACATAATTTTCCGTTGCCTTATCAGAAATGCAGAACGAGGAAGGAAGGGTGTGGACGCATTGTCCAACTGTGGCGAACCGAAAAAGTCGTCGTTTTCGCTGATATGAAAGTGGATATTTAGCCAGGCCTGCACTGAACCGTGGACATGGAGAAGATGGCGGCGTTATGGCTTCTGTTTGCGGGGCTGAATTTCGCTCTGGCCGCAGATATACCGCAATACTTCATGAAGGGCGGCAAACTGACGCTGGAATTGAGGCCTCCATCTTCTGAACCGATCAGCTACATCCTGTGGAAGTTCCAGGGTAACCTGCTGGGTGAATGGGTGAAAGATAAGGTTGATTTGACCTATTACAGCACCTTTCAGGGCCGCACAACCCTGGACACAAACACTGGACGTCTGGAAATCAGCAGCATGACTAAAGCTGACGTTGGGTTGTATTCAGTGGAGATCAACAACAAGCTCCAGCCTGATCAATATAAGGCTGTGATAATCAAAGCAGTCCCCAAGCCTGAGGTAGTAATAAGACCCTTGATATGTGGCTCTACCCCGGAGAGCTGTACTGCGACCTGTGACGGAGACACCACAGAAGCTGGACCCGTCACCTACAGCTGGAAGATGGGAGACGGAGAGTGGAAGGAGTCGGGGAAGAACATGGACATCACCAAGGCTGACACTGCGGATGTGAAGACCTTCTCCTGCCAGGTTAAGAACCCACTCGGTGAGAAAGAAAGTGAACGCAAAGACAACCCGCTCTTCGGGAAGGACGCGCCTGACGGCCTCGGTGCTGGGAGGATTGTGGGTATCTTTGTCGGTGTGGTCATCGGGGCTACGGCTGTTGCGGCTGCGGGGACGGGTGCGGCGTGGTATCTGAAGAAAGGCCCCTTCGAGAATCGAGGCAGCACTAGCCCTGATGCTGCAGCTGGACAGCCACTTAATGCTAACGGCACTCCAGACGAGGCCCCTAGAGCTGAAAATCGAGAGCAACCTAATGACACTGCAGCTGAGGGAGTTCCTCTCGAGACTCCAGCAGACCCAAGCGCTAACGGAGACCAAATCCCATGAAGTACTGGAGCTATATTCCCCATGGAGACACCATCAGATTTGTCCTCAGACTGCTTTTACTGCATACATGTCAAGACAACATTCATGTTTTTATTAGCACTCAAGCTGTGTGCATCATCAACTGTTACTGACAGCAGATTTTCACACTGCTGTCCCAAAGCAGTGAAGCTGGTCTGACAACAGACACATGGTGTATTTGTGTGTAGGTATTTGCTCATGGGAGCTGGGCGGTGTAGAACAAAAGTAATTAGGAGATATAAAAGAAGGGAAGATAGATTTATTCAGTGCCAATTCAGCTACATTTCAGCCCTCAATTCATAGGACAAACACACATGATCCAAAAAATATACGCCCAGCTCTGATAAAGCCATGCTTTATTATTTTTATTGTTTTGCTAGTGACCAGGGTGGACTGCAGGAAATACATATGAGGAAGTGTAATACTCTTAAGAGATGATGAGCTCAAGCTGAAAAAAAATGCTGATGGAGGTTGGAGACTAACTGAATGTGCCTTGTGTAAACATACTGGGCTTTTGAGACCAGCAACAGAAGCGAAAAGATGATGACTTTTAAGTGCATGGTCAAGGTTGATGCAGCAACTCATTTGGACCATCTGTATTTATGATATGAATAATCTGAAACAGTCTGCTTAAAGTTGTTTGGTAATCATATGTTTTTATACAGTGTTTTCTGTAATTTGTGCTCTTTTTAGCTTTTATCTGTGTTTTTATCCTCCTTTTCTTCAGTCAAGTATCTTCCTGTTTGCACTTCATGAATAAGGTAAAGATGAGGAAAACAAGCTTTTAATGTCGCTGGTTTTTAATTTATTTTATTAGGCTTTTTAAAGATGGAGTGCCTTTTAAATAAATCTGTGGCTCTACTACGGAGACTGTACATATCTTTTATTTCTCTTATTCAGTGATCAAACAAGGAAACAAAAAACATGAGGAAAAGGGGTACATGTACATTTGAATTTATAAAAAAAATGTTTTTCAGGCAGTAGTTCAGTTTCATTTCATGCTCATACCGGTGTACATTTGCATTTATGGATTCAAAACTTAGCAAATAAAATGTGAAGATTTAAAGTAAAAACACGACGTCCATCCACATCTTTTTATTTTCATATAACAAAAATAACAACTACTGTGTGTAGATTAATTTCAGTCCCACACGACTTTTTAAAAACGTAGAATTAAACATGAAAACCAAAAATGCGTTTCCTGCAGAAACTGCGTGTGAATGTCGACAGCTGAATTTAATTCAAAAGCATCGCTGAAAATGCAGGAATGTAAAACAAATTACCTGACAGATCTGAAAATCAAGAAGCTGAACTGCATTAAATGAATAAGGTAGGAGCTGAAATACATCATAACGATGGTCGAAGAGCAAAACCTCCTATCTGAAAAATGCACACTGTTATTATGTGTCACAATACCGACAATACCTCACAAAATGCAGGTAGGAGGTTTCCCCACTTTTCCTGGGTCATTCTGCAGATGGGAGGTTTTGCACTTTGGCCAAAAGGTTTGTCCTGTTAAATGCATTCGTAGAATTAAAGTAGAAGTGTTTCTGTGCCAGTATTAGAGGATTCAGGATTCATACTTCACTTGTTGCACTGCGGACAGAATATTTGTCAGAACTTTCCAATTTATGTTCTCAAAGTGATCGCTGCAGTGGTGCGACGAGAAGCTGCAGGGCAATGTATTATATGTCTAAGAATGTTGTTACTGCTTTTGTCGTACTTTATTTTGCTGCCATTAAACAACACATTTGCCATAAACAAGCTCCACAATTTCAAACAGAAAAGCAGAAATCTTGTAATTCTCCTGAGCTTACACAAACATGTCAAATCAGTGGTTCAGTCCTGCTCTCATCATCGCAAAGACATTAAAATATGAGACCATTTCTTCCCACCCAACATCTGGAGACTCTTATCTATCTTCATGACTACATTAGATTATATAATAGTATCACTGTGTAATTCCCTGCTCTCTAAGAAAACATCCCTCTTCGCCTTTAGCTTATCTAAAATTCTGCTACTAGGATTTTGACTCAGTTAGGAAACCACACCTCACAGATCCTGGCTTCCTTCACTAGAGTAGATTTTAAGCTGTTACTAATTACTTACAAAGCCCTCAGAGGCCTCGTGCCAAGTTATCCGATCTGTTATTGTCCCTTCTCCCACCCTGAGATTAATTTACAAAAGTAATACAGCCTTTGTTGTCAGAGTTCCTAGACGTCAGTCAGAGTTGCAAACTCTGTCTCGTCTTTAAATCACTTTTAAAAAGCCACTTTTTATGAATTCCTTTTGGGTGATTTCACTTATGTTTTATGACATTGACGTGCAAAGTGTTTGGCTCTCTTGTGGTCTGTTTTTATTGTAAAGCACTTAAACTGTGTTTTGAAAGGTGCAATGAATAAAGTACAATATTATTAATCTGTCAGTGACTGTTCATTAGACACATCACTGCCATGCAACAGTCTCGAAGAACACGCAGGTCCTGCATCACTACTGTGCTTTATTCTCCTGCAGGCAAGTAAGGATTACTGAAGGGACCTACCTTGCACATGCCTGGAGCATGGGTGTGTAATTATGATAATAATCTTTATTTATAAGGCGCATTTCAAAACAGTTACAAAGCGCTTCACATGTCAGTAATTAAAACAGACAAGACATGAAAACAACAACTTTATAAAGAACTGATTAAAACACTTTAGTGTATAACTGAGGGAATAACAGACAGTCTAAATGAACTTAAAACTCAAGTAAATCATGAAAGGCTCTCTGATAAAGGTGTGTTTTAAGAAGGGACTTTAAAGAGATCACTGACTCTGTCCCTTTTAGTCTTCAGCCAGGCCTCTGGAATAGACAAAAGAGCTCTGCCTGAGGACCTCAAAGTACGTCCTGGTGTGCACGGCACTAAGAGACATAGACACAACATAGGATTTAGCAGTCCGCTAACTTGAATGAGGATAAAATTATTTAATCTTGTAGCTCTTCTAGACTTTACAAATCTTATCAGACTGAATGGAGTAAATCCTGATAGTGAAATTAGTCGTTTAACAGGGGTTGTGATGCTCAAAAATCGGCCTCATAGCCTGTGACACTTCCCGGGGGCCTGGTACCTGGTCCAAGGAAATAACAGTACCGCACCATACAGATGTTTCTTAAAGTTTTATTTCCATCCTTCAATCCTCCGCAGACACTGAAAACCACAAACATAAAAAACATAAAAACAAGATTTGAAATACAAATTTTTCTTAATTACTTGTAGAGTCTCTCAACAAATGTCCAGGATTTAGACGTGCCCAACAATAGCCTCTGACGTGAATTTTCTGATAATAGACAGGTCCCAAAAAGTTAGCACAAAAACAGAAAATATGCTCAAGTGTCCAAACAGGCCACTTAAACAAATATTATAATCAGATACAAAGCAAATAAAGGTGCAAAATGACAATTACCATGTGCGAGTCTTGGACCATGCAGAATATTAATATTTTGGGGTTGGTGTACTTCCTTTGCTCTGTAGCCATGTTAGCGCTCTCTCTAGTCATGTTGTGACCTATTACTCTTAATCTTAAGCGAGTTTCAGGTTTTGTTCTACGACATAAAACACGTCAGTAAATACCCTACTTGTGAATTTTGAAGCTTTTATGTGTCGTAAAAAAGGCGGTTGCTAACTAGTTGCTTAATACGACTACAAACCCTGTCGGGGACATTAAACGTCATCACCCCTGAACAGGCGAGAGTGCTGGCAGTCCGCCATTACAGCTTCTTATTTAGCTTAAACAGTCCAATTTCCCCATTATACAATGTTTTTAAAATAAAGCGGCTGAAATCAGTTGAAAGCTTAGTGGCGGTGACGTCAAGAGTCATGCGACTGCGGAGTAGTCATGTAGTCCGTAAAAGCCTAACGTTAGCTTTTTACTTCTGGCGATCGCATTTAAGATTCAAATGCGGTATGAAAGGTGTTCATATGTGAAGATTATCTCGCTGAACAAAACCTGTAAGTATCATAAACTTGTGTTAGCCACAGAGCTTATTTTCTGACATAATCCAAAACGCAATGCAAAAATCACATTCACTTTCTCTTCCGGGAACTAGCACTATGCTAAACTTCCGGGTTTAGACGTAAGCCCTGGCACACTCTATTGGTCCTCTGTTGGAGAGGTGGGGGGGCTTTTGATTATTTGTGCCCAGGGCCCCATTTTCTGATATTCCGCCCCTGTTTACAGGTAGTGGGATACTTTTAGGAATTCAGTGTGTGTGTAATGAAGTGACCTCGCTCATTTATCAACTGTGATATTAGTAAAACATTATTTTTGGACCACTTTGTCATAGAAAATTCATTTTATCTTGTACTTAATATTTGAGACGGTACCTGTCGTTATTTGCAAATGGACGCGGAAGTGAAACCGGAAGTGAGCGCGGATGATCCTCGCACATTACTGTCCTCTCTGGCGGTGATGCTAAACCAGAGAGCCGGCGCTTGGCCACCTTACCTGGAATGGATTTAGAGGAAGCTTTTCAAGTTGTCGGCGAGTTTGGACCTTACCAGAAGCGGGCGGTGTCTGTCCTTGTTCTGACACAGGTCAGCGAATTAAAAAATATGTGTTTTATAAATGCGAAACCAGAAATGCTCCTGCAAAACAGTCGTAGCGGAACAGAGGTAACGTTAACGCTACGTGGCTCTCAGGCTCCAACAGTAAACGGAGGGATGTTTAACGTTAAGCCTTTGAGTGTGAACCAACAAAATAACATTTATCTATAAAATACTTTTACGTTTGAGCTGTCACGGCTTGCTTTCAATTTAGCAAGGCTCAAGCTTCGAAAGTGCACTTCTCGAGATAGAGAACTTTGCACCAGACTTCATTCAAAAAACGGGATGATTAGTGTTGCCTTGTTTATAGGCAGGTTTAGAAATGAAGCAGCCCATATCTCGATGTACTTTACATATGTATTTGAGCAACTCATTAGTTCGGCATATCATAGAAAGAAATATTAGTAACGGAAGTATATTATTCCCGCGTTGTTTACTGAACAAAATAACACCCCCGCGCGTCGCATTCCTAACGTTACAGCGACAAGCACCGCAAAACATGATGACATTGTTTACATTTTTTACAATGGAAAATAGCTCTAAGGCACATTAAATGTATGCCGAATTTCTCACAAAAGCCTACAAATGTCCAAAAGGGTTGAAATAATTCCCTGTTATTCCTACATTGCCTCCAATATCAAATGTAATGGAAAATGAAGCAGTATTTTAATGAGGTTTGTCATAGAACAAATTTAACATTTACTAGAAGGCAATAGCTCACACGGATGTCAAACCTATGCCGAATTTATCAAAACACCCCACATATTCCCGGATGGTTTTAAGTAAATTCCCACTTTCTCTGTATTGTCTCCAACATCAAATATAATCGTAAACTTTGGCGTATTGATATGACGTTTGTCAAAGAGAAGTGTTTACTGAAAGGAAATAGCACACAGGGATGCCAAAAGCAAGCCGAATTAATCACAACAGCCCACGTTTTCCCACATGGTTTAAAATAATTTCTTACTTGGTCTGTATTGTCACCGGTATCAAATTTAATTTTAAACATTTGCATTTTTAAATGAAGTTTGCCATAGCGCCCTTTATTGGTTAAGCTTGTAAACCCTAGTTGTCTTAAACCTAACCAAACTAAGTAAGGAGAGCTTTAAAATACTTTAGCAGGGGCGGAAATATTGCACTGGGGCCCCTAGGGTCAAGGGGCCTGTAGAAAGAGCAGGCCCTTGCAAGTGATTCTGATTGCCACCTTGGAAATATACCTGTGTTCAAAGATACTATGCACTAGGGCCCGTCATAATAGGGTCTACCTCTGTATCCAGGTCTCTTTATACATCCATGAGCCCAGCCAAACACTGGCTGTAGATAGGGCAATCCTCACTACTAGATGCCATTAAATCCCCTAAATTGGAGTTTCAGATGACAAATATTGCTGTCAGCCAGGTCTGAAACACAGAACATGGTCTAATCCTTTTTATGACGGGTGTGAACAGGTTTTTAGAGCATGCTGATAGTCGCAGTGGTGGTGATTGTAATATGATGCGTGTTATTTCTAGCAGAACTGTTTCTCAGCTGGTTGATACTGTGCTGATCTGTGTGTTTCAGGTGTACATGGCCTGTCAGTCCATGCTGATTGTTCTGATTGGATTCACACCACAGTATCGCATTGAACAGCAGGACGGTGTCCCATCCAACCAGCAGGAGCTCCTCCAACATGTCACCTTTACCGAGGACGTCGACTCCATAGTGACAGAGGTTAGGGAGCCAGAGTTCATGTTTACTCAGCAAAGACCTCTGATTCAGCATGTGTGCTTGTTTGGGTCCGTGAAGTCCACTGTCTCTGTGTTCCCCAGTGGTTTCTCATCAAGCAGCAGGCATATAAGGTCAGCCTAGCTGGATCATTGTTCTTCGCCGGGCTTCTGGTCGGGAACATCATCTTTGGGCCGCTCTCTGACAGGATCGGCAGGAGACCTGTCTACTTGACATGTGAGGAAAACCAAAGGCCACGATAAGTCAGATTTGTCTCAGTGAAGTTGTCCTGGAGCTGTTTGTTATTGTAGGGCCAGATGTTAAAATGTAGATTATTTAAGTTTTAGGCCTGTTTTGATTTTACAGATTTTAATTTACAGCTTTGAATTCATAGAAAATAACCACAATGTGGAGCTGCAAAATAGTTTTTTTCCCATGGTCATGAAATTCCTGGAAAAGTTATGATATATACAAATGTTTCTTCCGGGCCTGGAAATGGTTTGTAATTAACAAAATGTTTCGGAAAAGTTTTGCATATACATTGTTTTGGCTATTATTTAAAATGTGTTAAAAATACCAAAACATGTCTCAGTGTTACGCGACACATGTCCCTTGTATTACTAATTTAAAATCTAGTGTTGTTTAAACAACTGAAGGGACATGACAGCGGTTAACTTTGATGTATTACTTATCAGGAACACTCAGTTTCAGGCAAGGTTGCAAAACAAGTATTGGACATGCCTTTAAAACAAACATTTGTTCAACAAGAAAAAAATGCATACAAACTTGTCAAAACTATGAACTAAAGACACGTAAAAATGCATTGACATATATATATATGTATATGATCTTAGGTTTTAGATATCGTCTTACATTTTGAATATTGTAATATCGTAAGTGTTATAAAGGCTGTATTACAGTAAAGTGATGTAATTTCCTGATCTTACCAGAATGTTCCAGCTATTGTATTTTTTGCCTTCATCCATTATCGTATCTCTGTCAATATTGTTTCCTCTATCATACAACCGTTGAGTCAGGATGAGCTGCAGACTCAGTTTATCAACTTTCCCATAAATCCCTCATGATAACAACGATTCCAATGAGTTCTGTGCAGTGGAGAAGGAGTGCTGAT